CCAAAGGAATCGTACCCCCCCCCCCCCCAAACATCAGTAAAGGTCGTTTCATCCTCAACAAAATTTTTTAAAAAAGTTTCCTGAATTGTGTAAAGTTGTCCCTGGTGTTTCATTTTACTCCGGTTTGCGCTGCTATTTCCTCTTCCCAAAACAAATTATTCAACATCTCTAATAATCGTCAGCATGTAACACATTAGTCAGTACTTGCTACAAGAGTTACATAATGCAACACTGGTACTACTGTCACAACGACCTATAAACATTCGAACGAGTTCAACCATCAACAATTTAAAAACACCGTGAATCTAAAAATTTACGACTGACGAGCGTTAAGTATCTTCAGGTGTAGTTCTGAGATACCATTATCTGATATCATTAATACAGTATCATTAATGGGTTGAAAACTCACGTGTTGTGGGGGAAAAGAGAAAAGAGCATCGAGGATGGAACAATGCTACCGTCAGTCAATTTCCAGCACATTAATTTTCTCTGTATCGATTACTAGACTGAAAAGAACTCGAGGAAATTCATCTCACGATGGAGGTTGCAACGAGTGTTCGACAGAAAATTAAAGTGAGCTTCAATATTTTCCATGTTCATTCTTCTTTTTTATGATTTGAAACAATTAGCGAGTGGTGAAATTGTAAAATGATGGAGTCATTATTTTTACTTGTTCATACGTTTAATTTTATTGTTCAATTAATTGATTATAAAGATTAAAAATCTTATGAAAAGAGCTTAGGAAAAAATTTAGATAACTATATTTGGTTGCTTTTAGTTGTGAGAGAAATAGTTTTGAGGGTCAAACAACCCTTCAAGACGTTTGGGGTTGAGGGTCAAAAGACCTTTAAGCACGTTTGGAGTACCGGGTCAAAGGACCTTTAAGAACGTTTGGAGTTGAGAATCAAATAATTTCAAGGGTCAAATAAACCTCAAGAGTGTTTAGGGTTGAGGGTCAAACGGTTTTGAAGGTCTAATGACCCTCAAAGACTCGTGGAATTAAGGGTCAAACAATCCTTAGCGACTAAAGAAAACTGGAGATGTTGGATCATACCCCACTTGAGTTCGAGTCCGTGTGATTACATGACTGAATAACACAGTGCAATAATAGCACAAGTCAAAGTCGACGCAGAAAAATATGTTGGGGTCTTTTTGGAATCCTATGTCAGCCACATCCTCGTCGTGGATCCTGGGTAATGCCAAGAGCTGGTAGGGCGTGAAATTTAATTGGCTTGCCATGTTCGTGAATTTATAGAAAAAACTATATTTAATTCAATTTTTAATAAATTAATTGCCTTTAGAAGGAAAGTGGTGAAAATGGGAGGTCCCAGTCATCTACCTGGTCATCCATATCATTACATGTGGTGTACCAAAAAGTTTAAATTCATGAACTGGCATCCTAGTCCCGACTTGGTGGGAAATGTGGAGATCCATTGCGAACTAGTCAAACTGTGCTGAATTGTCCTTGTGATGTATTGTCCTTGTGTTGTTTAGTCATGTAACCGTCTGTGCGCCTCCGAATTTTTTAATTTGTGAACTGATAATTATTTAATGGTTTCCTTTGTACAAAGGTTCGTGAAGTTGAAAGATAGCATATAGCGTCCTGCTTTCCATGTAATTTATACTTTAAAAATATCTAAGGTTTAACCGTATAGATAGCCCGGGGATAATGTAGAATATAAATATACCGGTCGTAATAATTTCTTTCTTTTGTAATCCTTAGAGACATTTGGAGATGAGGGTCAAATGGTCTTGCGTGTCATCACTTAAGACCATTCGACCCTTAACTATAACGAAAAAAAATTTCCGAATTATAAGAAGTTGTCGTTTTCCTGGTGTTTCATTTCGATTTCCTCTATTTAATAACCGATATATTCAATGATAAAATTGCAGAGATAATTTGGACGATTCCATTGGGATCTTCGAATTGATGCACGATATATACTCTAAAGCCTCGATAATTGATAATAAATGTCAAACATTTAGCAAAACCTAAAGCCTTCCACTCATTTCATTACTGAATTGAACAATAAACCTTTGAAGATTGATAGAAAGGTAATATGTATATTCATCGACCGAAAAACCTCCATAAATGAATAATAGAATTTTCTTTCACCGATAATAATTGAAGCTAGAATTCTCTAGAATAACACCAAATCCATAGAAATTCCTGTTTAAAAATGCAAAAAAAATATTCATCAATTAAAATATTCTCATCCTTTCCTCAACCCCCCACAAACATAAATTCCCCCGTCACCGAACTTATTTTAAATCAATAGGTCTGTCACTTCCCGAAGAGAATCCCTTACATTCCCCTTAAAATAGATCACATCAATTTTCAATTAATCAATTTTTTTATGGAAAAAAATTCAATAACAGTCACATACGGCAAGTGGGCGTTGTTGTGAGCTCTCGATAAAAACAAACGAAATATATTTGTCGACCAAAAAACTCCATCAATGAATAATAGAATATTCTTTTATCGATAATAATTTAAGCTAGAATTCCCCAAAATAATACAAAATTCACAAAAATTCCCACTCAACAAAACGTAAAAACAAATTCATCAATAAAAAAATTCTCATCCGTTTTTTAACCCCCCACAAACATAAATTCCCTTGTCACCGAACTTATTTTACAATCGATAAGGCGTCATTTCCCGAACAAAATTGCCTACTTTCCCCTAAAAATAGATCGCATCAACTTTCAATTGCTTAATTTTTTCGATAAAAAAAAATCACATACAAGTGGACGTTATTATGTGTTCTCAGTAAAAACAAATGAAATGTATTTATCGACCGAAAAAATCTCCATAAATGAATAATAGAATATTCTTCCACCGACAATAATTTAAGCTAGAATTCCCTAAAATAATACAAAATGTACAAAAAATCCCATTAAAAAAAATGCAAAAAAATTTTCATCAATTAAAAAATTCTCATTCTTTCCCCATCCCCCCACAAACGGAAATTCTCCTGTCGCCGAACTTAATGTAAATCAATAAGTCTGTCATTTCCTGAAGAAAATCCCTTACTTTCCCCCAAAAATAGATCCATCAATTCTCAATTAATCAATCAATTATGAAAAATAAATAAATAGAATAACAGTCACATACGACAGGTGGACGTTGTTGGGTATTCTCGATAAAAACAAACGAAATGTATTTATCGACCAAAAAAACTCCTCCATAAATGAATAATAGATTATTCTTTCACCAATAATAATGTAAGGGGAGACTACTATGAATTTTAAAAGCCGCGGGCTACTGGAATGAGAGTTCTCATACACTGAAGATCGATTATATATGTTTAAAAACGAATAATTAGTGCAAAAAAATTGATTGTTCATTGTTCGTTTCCCCCGCTGACGCTTACAATGTTAAAAATAGTCCAGAGCCTCCAATTTTTGAGCTAGAAATATTTTTTTTTCAAAATTTTTGAACAAATGTGTGCAATAACCATTAAAAAAATATTTTAAATATTTTAAGGATAATCTTTCTGCCTATTTGAAATGAATGGCACAAATTTTTGAATTAAACAAAACACCATTAACGTAGAATCACCAAAAAAATGATGCTCAAAATATTCAAAGTATATTTTCGTTGCTTTCAGAAACATTTTTCTGGCTATTTTACATGAATGGGACAATTTTTCACATTAAAAAAACGAAATTAGCTGTGTAGGAGTCGAATTTAAAAAGACCAATTCGTAATTGTTATTGTCCACATTTTTTCAAAAATTTTGAAAAAAAAACCTCTGTAGCTCCAAAACTGAAGGCCCTGGACTATTTTTAACATTCTAAGCGCCTGCGGGCAAACAAACAATGAACAATCAATTTTTTTACACTAATTATTCGTTCTTAGGCATATATAATCGATCTTCAATGCATGAGAAATCTCACTCCAATAGTCCAGAAATTTTAAAACTCATAATAGTCTCCCATTCAACAAAATGCAAAAAAAAATTTCATCAATTGAAAAATTCTCATTCTTTCCTCAACCCCCCACAAAGTAAATGCCCCTGTCGCCGAACCTATTTTACAATCAATAAGTCGTCATTTCCCGAAGAAAATCGCCTACTTCCCCCTAAAAATAGATCGCATCGACTCTCAGTTAATCAATTGCTCCAGCGAAAAATAAACGAAAAAAAAAGAAAAATAACAATCACCACTGATAATGCATAAAGACCACGCACACCTGCACGAGCCACGTACGACAAGTGGAGGCTGTTAAGTATAAATAGTGCACTCTGATGTGTACGAAAGTGTCATTTAATCAGCTGACTTAATGCACCAAAACTCGATTGACTGCAATAATGAATGATTCTCCCAAAAATACTCCTCGAAGCAAAACTCTCCGGGAGTCAAGCGACAATAAGTGCAGACATTCGACAATTCATGCTTAAAAAAACGTGTCAAAACGTTCAATAAACTCACGGTGAATGATATTCCCTCGACGGAGCCGACAGCGTAGCAGCGGTCGCCTGCGTTGCAGGCACCACTCAGTATCTGATGGCAATTCATTACTCCCTAGTTCATTCTTCTATCATTGAAATTATATTACTGAAATGTATTCACTGTTTCAATCACTCTGGGACACAATCACCAACATCCGTCCGATACACTCTTTCAAGGACTCGTGAAAATTGACGTGACACAGTGATCCAGCGGTCGAGCAGCGGCCATCTTTAAATGGAATCAAGTCTGACGAATAAGAGTTGTGGGAGGTGGTCGGTCTACAATACCGACGGGAGAGGTTGATGTTTCGTGTTGGGAGAGTAGGGTTTGAGGGTTCTGCGGGTGAGGGCGGAGTGAGGATTTTCTGGAGGGTTATTTGAGGGTTTGTTTTGGATGAATGGACGGATATTTCTCCTATAATTTTTTCGTGTCACGGGACATGAAAAACGCCATTTGGCGTTTTTCAGGTCCCTCGACACGAAAATTAATATACACACCTCGCCATGGAAAACATATCACCCTCCCCCACGTGCTTGCCATCCTCGCCTTCGGCTCGGAAGGCAATCTTGCACGTGCGAGACGGTGATCTGTTTTCCAAGGCTCGGGCATGTAATGTACTATTTCATCACACTGTCCGTAAAACGACGTCATTACGGATATTGTAAAGAAATAGTATATTTCATCATGAGGCCGAAAAAAACTTTTCTGGTGAATATGAGGTTTGCAGCACGAGCCGAAAACGAGGGCTGCAATCATATTCGTCAGAAAAGTTTTTTTTGGCCGTATGACAAAAAATTATGTTCGTTACTCGGTCGAAAACAACTTTTCTGACGAGTGTGATTGTATTCCTCGGCTTCGCCTCGGTCTGCAACCCTCACACTCGTCAGAAAAGTTGTTTTCAGCCTTGTGATGAAAATAGTTATTTCTTCACAACGCACTGAGAAAAAATAGTAGGGGAGGGTGGGGGAAAACGGACACTTTAAACTTTTTAAAAATTATTCATAACTCAGAAACAAATTGATCAATTGAGCTCAGTTTAGGCTCATCCCAAAATTGAAAAAAATAATTATTCAATTTTATCAACATTTCAACCCCTCATTAATATTTAAGAAAAAGTTAAAAGTGTCCGTTTTACCCCAACCTCCCCTATATTTCAGGGCGAGTGCCATGGGGTTTTTTACTCGCGTGGAGTTGGCGTCCGAGCCGAAGGCGAGGAGTGGCTCATTACGCAAGTAAAAAAACCCCATGGCACTAGGCGTGAACGATATTTTTCCGTGGTGATTCTCAGTTTTACAAGTTTGGGGAAGGGTCAATACCAATTCCCGGACGAGGAAAAGTGAAGATCAGTACGGAAAAATTATTTTCGCTAAATATTCATTTACTTGAGAGAAGTATTTTTTTTTTCAAAATCGTATTTCTTCAATCGATTCATTCCTAGACGAGTCTGACTGAGTCAATTATAACAATCTTATTGCTGTAGAGAATATTGCTATAATGAAAAAATCTCAAGATAAAAATTTAAACAGAAATTCGAAATCTATTGACTTTTTCTTATCAAATATCCAATAGAATTTTTTAACGAATTCGTTTCCATAGAATTTTTCTATTCTATTAAAATTCTTCTATTAAAAGTTTTCTATAGAATTTTTTCATACGTATTTACACGCTCATTAGTGCATCATCATATTATCCACATTATAGAATAAGTAATCATGTCTACACATTGCGCGTTTCAAACTCCACATGTGTGATTCAACAACACACCGATATTTCATTTTTTATGAAACTGCCCATCTAAAATGTAGGGAATTCAATTTTTTCATAAAATTCTACGTTTTCGGTGTGTTAAATCACTCTAAACGTCGACAAGAAATTTCAAATTGAAGATAAAATTTCTTTGCATATTATGACTGCATAATGGCCCCAGGAATGTGGTTAGAAAACTCGTGCCCAATAATTCTAACAGAAAAAATCTCAAGAGAAAAATTTTAACAGAAATTCGAAATCTATTGACTTTTTCTTATCAAATATCCATCGAATTTTTCTATTCTATTAAAATTCTTCTATTAAAAGTTTTCTATAGAATTTTTTCATACGTATTTACACGCTCATTAGTGCATCATCATATTATCCACATTATAGAATAAGTAATTATATCTACACATTACGCGTTTCAAATTCCACATGTGTGATTCAACAACACACCGATATTTCATTTTTTATGAAACTGCACATCTAAAATATAGGGAATTCAATTTTTTCATGCAATTCCACACGTTTTCGGTGTGTTAAATCACTCGAAACGTCGACAAGAAATTTCAAATTGAAGATAAAATTTCTTTGCATATTATGACTGCATAATGACGTCAGGAATGTGGTTTTCTATTACAGAGTAAGATTCTCCGTGATACAGAAGATTTAGATGTTTTTTAAAATGGAAAAATTTATTGAGACAGTTGACAGAGCATCGCCACCCCCCTTATAATCCAATGCTCCTCGGACTTCACTGTAGGTACTCGCAATGCAATAACAAAATTCGTCGAGTGTCCGGTGGTCGACAGAACACCTCTTCTCTCACTCGTTTTATACACAGGACTTGTATAGGTCTGACTAGTCGGTAGATCTCCGCGTTTCATGGGCACCAGCCAAATCTGTTCATAAACAAGAATACCAAAAACTCAATTTCCATTCATAAATGACATAAGATGAAGAGAAATAAAATTATTGGGAGAAAAACAGCAAATTGATGAAAGGAGATAGTTTAACTTCTGCACCCTCGTTTTACATGTCCGAATCCAACGGGAATAGGGAAATTGTATTCATGATTTTTCGGCGCCTATAAGAAATAACTGGACAATACGATCATGAATGTCGTTTTCATAGTGTCTGATGCGTCCCTGATGATTTTTCTTAACGAAGTTGCATCTGATGTTGTTTTTTTAATTCTATGAAATTCAGGAATTGTTTTTTCTTGGTCATCATATTACTACAGATCATGAACAATGAATCATAAGGATTAATTTATTGAACAGGTGCAAAATCTCAAAATCAAGCGATTTTGTCACCAATTTGCAGTGATATAATACTAAGAAAGCAAGTCTAAATATTCATTTCAAGGCTATGTTTGAATATCTTAGACTGTGTTAAGGTATATCCTTAGAAAACAGGTTTTTTTATTATGATTGTCCCCATGTTTTTCTATAGATATGAGTAGCGAAGTGGTAAAACAGTTTAAGTAGACTTATTTCTCAGTTGAGTATTTGAGGAATATTTCCGAATCTAAGGGAGATAGCGAAATTTTCGTAATTACATTTATTGTAGCTTTCAACCGACTCCACAAAAAAGGTTATAACAAAAATTTAGCTATCTCCCTTAGATTCCGAGATATTTATTGAAAACTGGTCAATAGTCAAAATTGACTTGTATCGTTTTATCACTTCGCTACTGATGTAATGTTCCTAATATTCTCTAGCTATTAAAAAAATTTTAACGAGCTTTACTACATTGTATAGGAGCTAATAAATAATCAGATGCGGGCTTCTAGCACGTGAGGCATAGACCAAACCGGGGTTATGGGTCCCCCGAACTTGATTTTTCCACCTTACGAGAGAATAGTTATTACGAGGTTCTTAAAAAACAAATCCGTGGTAGATTGATAAATTCCGAATATGGTGAATTTTTTGTAAAATTTTATAGTACATAGTTTCTGCGAAATTCAACTCTAAAAAATGGGAATTTCGGGAAATAATTTCATATTTGATTCAAATAATTAATTAACAAAAGTGATTCAAATAGTCATTGTTACCCTCATGAACAACATATGGAGACAATACATTAGAGTACAAAGGCACAAATTTCGTTGTCAACGAATATGAAGTTGACACTTCGTGAGTTGTACTCACATTCTTTGAAAATGAAGTTTATGCCGGAGTAATCTACAATATTTTATGTCATACCGTGCTGAAGTCGAGTGATATAAACTTAGTAACTTGAGAGAATGCAATAAATTAAGTCATTTAGAATTGTTTCTGGAAATTCATAGAGACTAACTTTTAGGTGGTATTGCCTTACAATGTACCTTAAGGACATTTCCGGCCGTTCCGGCGTACGCCGTAACTCAGATGTGTACATCTGCGACATTTACACATCAGTAAAGCAATCATAAATATTTTATCGATAAAAACCGAAGACTCAGAGTAGAAGTAAAACTTATCTCATTGTATCGCTTTACTACTGACTTCACTCTCAGAGAACGGATTCTCATACTCACAAAGGGAACTTCGTCGTAAAGTATCTTCGGAAAACTTTCCTCAATTATCATTTTCTCCCTGTCGAACCTGGCACCGTCCAGAAAGAGGCCATAAACGTAAACACCGTCTTCTGGTGGCTTATCGAAGGAAGTTTCCTTGAGAAACACAAAGTCGTAAACTAGTAGATCAATTGGTATGTGATATTTTCTTGCGAAGTTTTGTATGGCTCCTGTGAGGAACGCTTGAGTGAAGTAAAATCCCGAGACCCAGTAGGTGGCTGGAGGTCCATCTTCAAACCATCTCTATCGAACAAAAAATAAGTGAATGATTGCATATTTTCGATAGTAATTTCATTTCTGATTGAGAAATATTCGACGGATGACGTTCAAATGCAATTTAATATCGTTCTCTTATGTAAAAATAAAAATGAGAATACGTTACAGAGCAAATTTCCAATTTTTTGTGTGAGACTAACGAATTTTGGCCGCCAGAATTCGAATATGCTATTTTTAGGCCTTGTGTATGTAATTAATCGTTTTTCGACGATAACTGTAGAAAGAATTATTTAAATGAATCCCAATTGTGATTGAAAATATTCTCTTCAATGCCGTCTTGACCGAGTTCGATCATGTGATTGATTGCATTATCTGTTGTTGAAAAAAAATTATTTTTAAACCAATATTCAGATAAATGTCAAAAGTTTTAACATTGGGGCAATGTTTGTTACCAACGTTGAGGTAATGTTGGCTGCCGACGTTGGGACAATATTGGCAACCAACGTTGGGGCAATATTAGCAATCAACGTTGGGGTAATGTTGGCTACCAACGTTGGGGTAATGTTGGCTACCAATGTTGGGACAATATTGGCAACTAACGTTGGGGCCATATTGGCAACCAACGTTGGGATAATATTGGCTACTAACATTGGGGCAATATTAGCAATCAACGTTGGGATAATGTTGGCTGTCAACGTCGGGACGATATTGGCAACTAACGTTGGGGTAATGTTGAGTGTCAACCTTGGGACAATACTGGCAACGACCGTTGGAAAAATATTGGCTACTATCGTTGGGGTAATATTGGTTACCAACGATGTTGAATCAATAAATTCAATGAATCATTTAATTAAATTTAATATTGAGGCAATATTGGCTGCCAACGTTGGAACAATATTGACTACCAACATTCGGTCGAAATCTTCTCCACAACATAGAGAATCAATAGAATTCGATTTTTCTGTACAACTTTTTCTTTTTAGTTATTTTCAATAGAAAGTCGTGAAAAATATGTGTCAAACAATGTAAAAAATTTATCTCGAGGAATTCCCGTATAAAATATGTTATGTCAATAGAATAAATTAGACTGGTAATCATCAAAAGGCGAATTTTTTCATAGAATTGAGTCTTGTTTGAGAATAATTTCTTTTCTGCTAATGTAACTGAGTAAGAATAGTCGTCTTGCAGTGTTATTCACCCGAAATTGCCTCAACTATTGATTGAACTACATTCCCCCAACGAATTCAGAAATTTGAATTTTGGACAGAATCCAATTCCCCTGAAATCTCGATGTACGATCTAGTCACATGTAATTAAAATCTCCAAAACTTACCTGCAAGAAGTGCAGCCTCTGCAAAAAATCATTGATGTAACTTCCAAGAGGTTTCAGAGACGGATAAGAGTTTTTCATCCAGAGAGTTGAAATTTTCCCCTTCAAAATGGCATCCGCCACTTCTTCCAGCTCCAACGACATTACAATCAGCCCTGAAAGGAAGCAATTTCATATTTTGTTGGTACAGTCTCGTGTTAAGGGTGCAATATTTGAATGGGAATTGCTAAAGAGAGGGATGATTGCCTTTGATGGCCTTTTGCACGTTCGCAAGACTGGTTCCGATGCAACTCAGCAGTTTATTGAACCTCCCCATCTCCTGAACTAAAACTGTATTCATACTTTGATTGTATGAAGTCGGGTATTTCTCGAGTGCCTCAACTAGATCGAAGTTCTTAGGGAGTTTACTCAGTACATCTCCGGCAACAGCAAATATCATCTCGTCGGGAGACATTCCACCACTTCCGGTTGCTTTCGATGTTTCCTGAATGAAAATTGTTGCATTTTAAACTTGTCTCATTCACTCATCATTCATCATTCGTAATTAGTTTATTTTTTAAATAATTTCATCTCACCTTTCTCAACTAATGTTTGAGGAAGCATTAAAAGACATTATCAGAGTGTTAAAATTATTTTTCCATGAAAATTATGTCATTTTCGTGAAGTGATGAAACAAGTGGGGGAACTGTATTTCATCTAGACTCATTTTTTTATGAATGTTTTGAAAATGGAGGAAGATTTCGAAATTTTTGTACAGAAAATTTTTGTAGCTCTCAATTTGCAATGTACAAAAGTTCTCTAGGGAATTTCTACTGTCGCACTCAGACATATGATGCATTTCAATCCTTTCTAAAAAAAAATCATGGGCAATATCCATGAGTACAATCGTCTTGCGTCGAATTTTCATGGAGTCCGATTAACAAAGAAAAGAGAATTGAATACCATTCTACGAAACATGAATAAAGGAATCATAATTATCCAAATTATTTAGGTCAGAGGAAAACACAATAATTCCACCGTTTTAAGTAGAATTATTCGATACGAATGAATTTTTTACGGATTAATGGATTTTTACATTTTACATTTACATTTAAAAATTTTTTTTAATACAATAATTCTACTGTTTTAAGTAGAATTATTCTATACGAATGAATTCTTTACGGATTAACGGATTTTTTATATCGAAAGAACTATTTATTTGATGTGAATGGAAACGCATATGAAAAAAATCAAGTTCAAATCTGAATAAACTCATTTATTTAATTCGAATAATTTTAATAAAAAACAAATATTCAAGGAGAATGAAGAAAAATTTAAACCAAATAAATAGAATAAATTTATAGAATTAATTGAATGTGTCACCTCGGCATAGAATAATTACCTTAATTTCCCATAAATCCTAATGCAGTACAAGTGATGTAAAAACATTATTGAACATTAATTTTATAAATTTGATGAATAAAAGAAGAGATTGAATTAATTTCTCACCGATCTCTCCTATCAGTTGCATTTATAAAACACAAATTAATAAATCGAAATTGTGAGGTGGAAGTATAAAATTACTAGACAATTGTATGAGGAGGACTACCTGAGTGAGAAGGAGAGACGAGAACAATAAATCGGTCTCCTGTTGATCCTTGATGATATCCGCATTCTCGTTCATACCGAAAACACTAGGTGCCGTGATCAAAGGCAATTTCTTCGTGTAGTCGACGTAAGCGTCATATTCTTTACCCGTAGGGCAGTAATAGACGTCTGTTGTCTCATCGAAATAATATTTATCTTCACCAATAACTTCACTAGAATTCAAAAGAAACAAATGGGGGTAATAACGAAACTACTTTTAAGGGACCGGAGGCTTTTTACATAAGATCGAATGATCATAGGGGCCGATCATAGGAGCAGATCATACAAAAAACGCGTAAGTAGATGCTAAGGGTCAAAGGATCATAAGGTTCAAACTGGAGACCTTAAGGGATTTGGATTTTCATAATACAGTAGAGGCTTCGTGTAAGATACCTCTCTATAAAATACCTCGCGCTCCGAGCGCTCGAGACCTACCCCCCACTCTCGGCACTTTTATCGCTTCCCGAATGTCTATGCTCCGTGGGCTTCTTATAAGATACCTATGGCCCTGGACATTTTTCAACGGGAAGAGAGTAGTTATAAGGATCAAACGGTGTTAAGAATCAAACGGGAGGGACGAACGAAGTGATCATGAGGGTCTAATGACCTTAAGGGGGGTCACACCACTTTTTTCAAGTAATGGAAATATACATCGATTTTTTTTTTCATTTTTCCCATCGAAAAATCGTAATTTTTCGTCTGTGATTATTCTCGAGTTCACCAACAATCCCCCAACATGAGCTGCCATTCTATCACGCGGGGTTATGTTTAGAGAGAAAAGGGAACGCGGGTGATACAAATTCAAAACATTAAACACATATAAATTGGTTAGTTATCGATATTCATTCAGTAAAAATGAAAATTTCATTGAATTAGCGCGTAACAAGCGAGGTATTTTATTTGAAACCCGCTGAATCCTATTTTTTTCCTCTCTACGGGCGCGCGGAGTGGGGGCATAGGGGTTCCCGGAATTCCACTCTCCTACTGTCCCTAAGGTGTCTTATACGAAGCCTCTACTGTATAGAGAGATTAACTTCTTCGGAACTAACAACTTTACTTCGGAACAAACAACTGTTCACTCATCATTATCAGCAGTTATCGGTTTCGTTAGGATGGCTCAGATCAAAAATGTAAATTAAATGGTAAAAAAAAATGCGTTAATTTATTTTTTCAGCTATTAAAAATAGGTATTGGGCGGGCCACGGGTGCCGATCATACGACTTGTTTGAGAACTCTGGGGGCCAATTCGCGAGTTTGAGGTGAACGGATTTGTGAACGGAAGTGGCTCCGTTCACGTATTTCGGTGGGGAACGAACGTTTCCGTGAACGAATACTAAATTCACATGTGAATTAACTTCGTTCACCGAGGTCATTTTCAACTCGCACACTGATTCCCATGTCGTGAACTTCACATGTCGTGATACTCTGCATTTGGAGTGCATCGGAATAGATGTATCTCGACAAATTATCTATTCTTCAACTTATTGTAAAACAAAGAATTGAACTATAATAAATTTAAACAATTAATGTTTAATTTTTCTTTCCCTTGAAGAGGTCATCTGTATTCTCATACGAGTATCTTCACGTGTGAATCGAAAACGATATCCGTCAACGAAATTGATTCACATGTAAACGAATCCTAGATCGTTCACATTCACACATTCACTTCCGTTCACAAATCCGTTCACCTCAAACTCGAGAATAGGTCCCCTGCTGTTTTTCTATCAGTGTAGTCTCACTTACTCGCAATAGTATCTCCCTAAAATTGTATTCAAAGTCCTTCTGTCCCAGGCATCAGTGACCCTCCCACCATAGTTGCACTCTCCCGTCAAGTATCTGAGCGCCTCAAACTGGACATCATCGTATTGATTCAGGAAAATATTCAACTGCAATACACTGATCCTGAGATCAGTCTCATTAAACTCATAGGGTGTGTTCCACCCGATGGGCCCGAACTTCCGTCGCTCCTGTACAATAGCGTGGAAGAAGCACAGGCTGTACAACAGTTTCTTGAACTCCATCGATTGCTTGCAAGACTCGAAGAAATCGGGCTCGCATATGGGGTCACTGAGGTACGACCTTATGATGTTGGCTCGTAATCCTTTTGGGGGTTCGTTGGTCATCTTTATACTGTTCTGGAGGACAGTCACTGGGAAGTGATCGGCTGGGTAACTCGTCAGCCATAGTCGGAAGTCTGGGTGGATTGTGTCGGGGACGAGACCCTCGCAAATTTTTTCGAGCGTTCCCATCCAACTTTTCGCTAGGTGACAGTTCTGGAGGACTATCCAGTGACCGTAACGGACTCCATTGTTTATTAGTTCTTCTGCGATGGGACCTTGACCTATTGGGGAAGAGCATTTTTGCTGGTTGTACGAGTGTTCTTGGGAATCAATTGGAAATTTTCTTCTGAATACACGGAAAAAAAAGTTGGAGAAAAATTAATTTGAATACATTGAAAGATAATCTTCAACAATTTGTAATTCCACGAAGAATGTAATTATTCGGTAATTATAATGTCTTCATGCAGAAGAAATTCTTCAAATTCCATTGGTTTACAAACGAGTGGGAAATTGCTCTTATATTGAATATATTATAGTTATTTTGCTAATAAATTAACAATATGCTTTCAAATGGTTATTTTGCACATAATTGCCTTCTATCATGTATAATTGATTGTTTATTTCATTTTCTCAAATTGAATGAGATTTCTTTTCAACTAATTTTGTCGGATTTTCAACTTAGTTGAATGTTATCATCATCATTATTCTTATTATCACTTTCTTCTATACAACCAATTGCCTTTTTTGCAGTTCTATCTCTCCCCTCAGCCCTTCGATAAAAAGTTAATAGAAAAATGTTATTTTTACATAATTGAATGAATTTGAAACATCACATTTGAAGAAACCATCAGAAAGCTCACTTTCAGGGAAATTCAAGAAAAATTCGAAATTTTCAACAATCATCATAAACATCAAATCAACCAATATAGCTATCGTAATCATCTTTTAACTTCGACTTAATGGCATTGAAACAAATATTTTAAGCTATGATTGAATTCATTTGAAGCATGATATGCCAAGATATCCCGGGAATTCTAATTTTCAAAAAATACAGAATTTTTGCAAATTTTCAAATAACTCAAAATAACTATTATTGTTATAGCCTTCATCTTCGAACTTGGTTAAAAGGACATCCAAACAAATTTTGTAAGCCATCATTCAATCAATTCCGAACATTTTTTTTTAGTTATCGTGAAAAAAACAATTTATCAAAAATTTAAAAAATTAATTAACCAATTAAATTTTAACTATTGGCGATTGATAGGGCTCGACAATACCTACATTTTGAGGGGAAAAAATAGATTTCAGTTCTATCGAGCTTAAAAATTGCATTTTCGGACTTTTTGGATCATAATGGGTCGATATAACACGAAAAGTCCAAAACTTAAATTTGAATGATTATAATGCTTCCATTCGGAAGCACAAACCGAGTTCGTGTCTAGAAAACTTAATTTTAAAAAATCAACTCCAAAGTAACACGTGATGAATACGACGGAGTTGTTATGATGAAAGTTCTGTAGACCTGCTTCCAATAAACTGAGGAATCTTATTATTCTCCTTACCTTGCCCGAGCGACAACGAAAACAATCGACTTGACCCAAATCCCTGGTCATCGGCGAATTTCAATAACACCTGGGCGGGATCAGCCCCCGGGGTTAATATAAATATCAAAGGGACAGCGCAGTTTGAATCTGCGTAGGATGACGCTAAATCGAACGGTGGTGGGTCGATGAATTGAGGGCCGAGCTCCGCTGAAACAAACCTCATTCAATCAACATTTTCTCTCTAATGTACCCATCAAACTTCGGTCAAACTGAATTTCTATGACTTTGATATTAAATTTGTAACCGGTGGGCACGTAATTGAAATTTCTTTGAGACAACACGCATGAAAAAATTCAATAGAAAACCTAGCGAATTTGCTAGAAAATTCTATTGGAATTCTATAGGAATTCTATGGGGGTTTCTATAGGATTTCTATTGGAATTCTATTGAAAAAGTCGATGTTTTTAGCGCTGATTCTATAGCATATTTGACAGGAAAAAATCACTATATTTTGAATTTCTGTTTGATTTCTTCTCTTTAGATTTTTCTGTTAGAATTATTGCGCACGAATTTTCGAAGTTTTTTCCGCTGGATTTTGTTTTGCTTTGATTTTTCGAGTGATTTCGAAGACTGTGTTGGTAATTACCTTGAAATTTTGTTAAATTTGTTCGCGTTGAATTTGTTTGTGGTAACATTTATGTGTCATTCTGACATATAATCGTATGAGCAATTGAATTTCAATTGGCGGCAATGAAAAGAGCTTATTAAAGTCTATATTCGTGAAGAAAATCATGAAATTCGATTGATCCCTATTGAAGAAAATTTTGAAAAAAAACACACTGTAGAAAAAATTTAACTGAATTTTCCAGAAAATGACACTGAATTCAATTTAACGGAAAAACGTCTATGAAACTTCAAGTTTCCCTGAAAATTCAAGGAAATTCCTGATTTTTCAGTGGAAGAACCATGAAGATTCCGAAATTTCCATGAATTTTAATATAAACATGATAATTCAATAAGCAATTGCTCTGAAATTTCAAAAAATTGAAAATTCAAGGACATTTTTGCGGGAATTTTCCTAATTTTCATTAATTTTTTTGGGATAATTTAACTGAAATGTAAAATTTCCATGAATTTTTCGCGAAAACCACGAATTTTCAATGGTAAAATTCCCTGAAATTTCAATGAAACCGTCACTTGTTTCATATTTCAACACTAAAACCTGGAAACTTCATACAGACAGCATCTGAAAATCGCATATTCCGACATTTTAGACTATATTTAGTTACTCTACACAAAAAACTGAACGCTCAAATTTGAGCGATTACAAAGCTTCCATGCAGAAGCAAGAACAAAACAAAAATAATAGTAATAATAAATAATAATTAGTAGCTGAAGTCATACTGTTTCAGTTTGACCCAAAGTTCTCATATCAGTCATCAACTCACCCTCAACAAAAGTCTGCACTGCGGGCACGACTTTATCAGGTCGCACACAGCGTAGCACCAGAAGTCTTTCCAACCCCGTTAACTCATCGAAAGGGGGAGGAATTGGGGCCGTCTGAGGCTCTTTAGCGTCGAAGAAAACTTTCCAGGCATTGTTGTTTTTGATAAATGACTCTCGGATTCCCTGAGGATGAATTCGTAGAGTTAAATATTTATTATTAAATATTTTTTCAGTCCCCTAAAGCTGAAGAGAGAATACACGAGAATCTTGGGATGTGGGTAATAATAGCGTAACATATTCTAGGTATTGATCGAACTAGCGTCGAAGATGTCACGAGAGATTAAGCCACTAACTGTATATTCTGAATACATATTCCGAATGAAGAAAAAAAAGCATTTATTTTCATCAAAAAATGAATTGAAAAAGGAGAATTTTCAAAATCATCAATTTCCCATTTCGAATTGCTCATAAAATCCTCATGGGTGTTTTTTTTATTCAAGTTTTTCTAGTTGTAATAATTTGTTTGTAATTCTGGTTGAATATCTTGTTAAATAGCTGATTAAGGCCTGTATGGATTTTCATTCGAATGTTATCTCGATTGTTTCACCATCATCATAATCTAAAATAGGGGAGGGTGGGGTAAAATGGACACTGTCGACTTGTTTTAAATTATTCATAACTCAGAAACAAATTTATAAATAGAGCTTAGTTTAAGCTCGCCACATAGGGAAAGAATTGTTTTTTGCATTGAAAAAAAATTATTAAATTTTATCAACATTTCAACCCCTCATTAACAGTTAAAAAAAAGTCAAGTGTCCGTTTTACCCCAACCGCCCCTATATCACAATTTCCATTGAATTTTATATCATGCAGAAACTCAACATTTTCAGAGAGCGTTTTTAATAGAGATTAGGAGATAAGTCTGATAGAGAGGAAATTGTAACGGGATAATTTATCATGGCAACTAATGATCTGACACAGCCATTAGCTATTGTGACAAATGACGCCCCAACAGCCATTAGATACAGTAAATTATTAATTTGTAATTCCCTCGCTATCGGGTTTATTTCCGAATATTATTCACAAACGCTCTTTGAAAGTGTTCATTTTTTTTTCAACGTGTTTTATTTTACAATCATAATTTTTAGAGACTCCAGGGCTACGTAAAACTGATTGGCAATTGAAGAACATTTCAAATTATCAATATGAAAAAAAATCAACTAAGATGGCGTTCGAAAAATAATACACGCGGGCCTCAAGGATATCCAAGTACTTTGGCTATATTTTTGACCAGTGAAATGATTTTTCACTTTTGTAGTTGAACATCAGAGCTTTCATTTGAGCCCCATTTGACCCTATGTTTCGGGAAATTTTACAATGATTTTATTACTTCAGTAGCGAAGTGGTAAAACCGACTTATCTCCCACTTGAGTTTTTAAGGAATATTTCCGAATATAAGGGAGATAGCGAAATTTTCATAATCATATTCGTTGTAGCTCTCAATCGGCTCTACAAAAAAGGTTGCAATAAAAATTTTGCTATCTCCCTTAGATTCCGAGATATTTATTGTAAACTGGCCAATAGTAAAAATTAATTTATACCGGTTTATCACTTCGCTACTGATTTGAACATTGCAAATCGGAATTTGAATCTCGATACTGAGCCGTTTGAAACTATTTTATAAAGCTGAAAAAAAATAGAAAGTTTTTTTTTGGAGGAAGATTGATGACATAATTAAAAAATTGCATTTTTTGAAAATTACGAGCGTTTTCTATAAATCATTTTCACAATCAATTTTTCTACCATAAAAATCATTTGTTCAGAATCGTAACAAATTTATTCATATTCAAAATTTTACCAGAAATCTATTTCATGCGTAGAAAAAGAAAGTTTACAAAAGTTTTAACAATTTCAATTATTTATTTTTCTACAACGAATGTTTAAAAAAATGATAATTATGTGCAAAATGTAATTTGAATGATGCTGAATATTCATGATTTTTCTTAAATTTTTCTCACGCAACTTAATTGACAAATTTGATGATTGAAAATGGTTGAATCTATAGTGTGGCCTGTACCAAACTGTAAAAGATACTTGGATATCCTTAAATAACTTTTTTTTCCTACAACTCCGTTGTTGTGAACGCATCGAAACATAACAACAGAATAATCGACTGAAATAACGAATAGGCAAATCAATTTCCAACGAGTGCACAGTTCTTAATCCTGATCGGGATGATGACTTAAATTGTTTAATTGAATACGAATATGAATATTCACCCTGAACCCCTGAACATCATCCAGTCGACACAGCTCATCCCACAGTTTAGCCGGCATCCAACCACTGGGATTAGCATGCGGATTATCCAGCCCGACGCCCCCAGTCAGCAGAAACATCCACTCAACCGGGGGAACCCCCGAGCCCAACTTATCCAGAAGATTAATCGCCAAGAGCATGGAGAACAGTAGCTTATCCTTCTCAAACAGGGACCGACAGACATTAACATACAACGAGTAAGTGAAATGTTTCCGGAGATCTGCCAGCCTCAACTCGACGGTCTCCGACTGTCCAGTGTTGTCGATGGAGGCCTTAAAGAGGTTGACGAACCAGACGAGGGAGTACTGATACATGGGGTCGATGTTCGAGAGGACGGCGATGGCAAAAAAGAGAATGGTTGAGTATTCAGCGATGGGTGTGTACTGCAACCTCGTGGTGTCGATGGACTTCTCCGTGACTTCAGCAGCCGCTTGTTTGGCCTGAATGTCATTGCTGAGGATTTTGGAGGACGTGAGGACGCCGATCGCCTCCTCATCCTCGAGGATATTCCCCTCGGACACTGAGAGGACTTCGAGAATCTTGTCCTCGGTCTCCTTCAGGAGCTTCTTGTTCGCTGCACCTTGAATTATCAAGGAATTCTTCTCTGCCTCCAGGTCAGGCCTCTCCTTCGCCACAACAATCCCCAGGAGTTGGTCCTCAAGACCACTGGGAGTTATCACGAAGTTGAGGAGTGTCACCTTGACAGCGATCTCCGGGAGATAATGGGGATTCCCCAGTTTCGTTGTTATGTAGAGACGGAAATTCACGCTGTACTCGACGACAGAGTCACCTAGCTTTATGCAGAGGGCGCCACCCTGCTTGAAAGTCTGCTTGAGCAGAACCGGCTCTAACATTGCATCCAAGTCCTCCGGGACGTTTTCCAGAAGAATCGGTTGTCCGAATTGAATCGCGTTCTCTAAGACCCTAGGGTAGTCTGGTTGAGTCAGTCTTATTATGCTCATGTTGTTGGTTTTTTCCATGTTCTTCACCCATTTGTTGGCTTGACTCTGGGGGTCGATCATCAGGGGCCATCGTCGGGCGTTCTTTATGATTATGCCGTTGTCTATGGAGAAACTGTCGCTCGGGAGGCCCGCGATTATCCAGGAGCGGATTAGGACTTGGTCGCCTAGGACGTCTTTCAGGGAGAAGTCTTCGGTGCATACCACGTCCAGACTTTGGCAGCGGGAGACCCACGTTTTTATCTGCTTTATGCGGTACGGGGTTGTGAAGACCCCTAGGTAAGCTACTATGCCTGAGGCTATTATTACGTCACCGGTCAACTTTTCGAATCTGGAAGGAGGGTTTTTGAAGGTTAAATATATAAGACAGGGTTTCTCGTGAAGACCTACATTCGAAAAGGAGGACTTTGGGAGTCGGAATACCGAATATCGTGTTGACTATATAAAATAACAGTCGATAGTGCAATCCTATTGGCTGAAATTTGGATGGAAAAAATTCCCGAACAAATTACTTTTTCATCCTATATGGGAGAAAAAGTGTAAGATTTGTAAGATTTATCCTGCATTCCATGAAAAATTACGTGAATGTGAATGATTGCTCAATATTGCGTATAATTGTTTTGTAACAAAAAATGATTTTTTACCGAATGTGTTCGGTTAACCTTCTAACCTGATTATTGTTTCTATTTATTTTCTCGATGCGGTAGTGGGGAGAGCTGAATCGCACACTACACGGGGAAAAAGCTTAGTCAGGTAAAAGGATTAAATTTCACTTTCATTCGTCCCCATCACCTTCATATGGGGGCAAGAAAAAAAATACCCTACCGGTGTGTGAAATTTTACTGTACAGGAGGATAATTTTTGCAATAATAGATGCGTTTTTTAACCGAACAAATCGTAAAATATCTTTCACAAACAGGTGTTGTTTTAATTAAATTCCATTTTGCTCTACGAGTATCATTCAGACAGTAAAATCGGCCACGATTTTCTATGTAATGTTTGTCCAACTTTTCTCTCCGTGTGGGGACCAATATGTTACTTTTTGGCGTCGTTGTTTTGGCGCCATGGAAAACAAAAAAATATGAAAATGAATAACAAAAAATACATAGGCCATTCCGCCGAATATCGTAGGAAAATCCGCCCTCAAAATTTTCAAAAATGTTTTCTTGTTTCTTCGAGGAGCGTCAGTAATCGAACCGTGGGCTCTCACCTACTCGAGAAAGTTCCACTTTTATACACAAGTATTCGAAAGGAATAAAAAATAAAATTTAATTGCTGATCAATGATGTCCGTTAAATTGAATTATTAGAATCTTCACATTCACACTGTCCTTTCCATAAAATTATTGAAGATGTTCATGTTACCGTTGCCAATTGCATAAACTTACCAATTAAATTGAATTTGTGGAGGTGAGCAAGTTCATGGAATGACGAGTCCAGACGTAGAGCGAAATTGAGTTTATATTTACAATTGAGTTTTCCTTTTTACAAATTTAGAAATAGTGAGTAAAGAGTAAGTTCTAGGTGAACTTGTTCTCTAGTTAGATTCAGTAGTCGAATGATGAACGATTGACTGATGAATGATTGAATGAATATTTTAGTCAGAGGCATTGTGGAGACACAGTCGCCACAAATTTATTAAAATGAAAAAATAAAATCTTAATTAATTGATTGTTCATATGTGCGAAGATAATGGCGCCAAAAATCCCGCTCCGAGTAGAGATTTCAGAGATGACTGATCTCTTTTCTCAACTTCACTATCAACTTATTGATCAAGTAATTAATATCTCTACTTGTTACCTTTCTCCTAACTCTTTAGCACTCTCTGACCACCTCGTCCTCTCTCCCCCCAATCCCCCAATCAATTCCTCAGCGCGTTTAAGTTTCTGCTCGCAATCCGCAGCTTTATCAATCATTTTCTGATGGTCAGCTTTCTTCAACGCCAAGTTCGCTTTAAGTATCGCCAGTTTCGCCTACGATGCGTAAATACCATTGAGCAAATTTGATCTATTGAATGGCCTTTTGAAATTTTTATCCAATTCATTGACTTTCGCGATGAAATACCTGAACTTCCGCCAACTGTGCTCGTTTGGCATTCAGTTTATCCGTGGCCTCATTAAGAACTACTTGCGCCTCGGCTAAAGCTTTCTTCTTGGGCGCCACCACCCTCGCAACTTTGTCATACTCCGTAATAGCGTATACCCATTTGCATAAGCCCTCGCAAGCTGTCGACGATGTCTTCACTTTTTCCGGGTCAAAGTTGGGATTCGTGAGGTAATCCTTCTTGATCTTATCAATTACCTTCTCAGGGATGTTGTCCTTATCGAAGTTGATGAGGGAGTCCAGGAATTTGGCGTCGCTCAATATCTTCATTGAAACCTTCCAATAATCATCAACCGATTTTCCATCAGGCCCTTGAACCTTCTCAGGCTTCATCTCCTTCAGAATGCAAATACTCTCCATGACGAGTTTGACATTCGCGGGGGGATTCTTCATAGTCTTCACAATGGAGATGTCCGCTGGGGTCAAGGTATTCAGAGCAGCTTGCGCTGCGTTGAGAATGGGCAAAGCATCAGCCAATTTAGCATCGCAGTCTGCTTTGATTTCTTCAGCAGCATTTGCCACCTCCGTTGCTGCCTCTTCATCTACCTTGACGACTTTCTCCGCTGCTGCAACCTCAGATGATTCTTTCTCGACGGTTGCCACACTCCGCTGGACGTCTTGAGCTGCGGTGACCAAGAGCGGTTGAAGACCTTTGAGGGTCTCCTGCATCTCAGTGACCTGGTGCTGGGTCGATCCCAGACGATCTAACCCACCTTCATATCGGGTTTTTGCCAGCAAGATTTCCCTAAAGTTGAATACAAGTTAGAGATGTTCGTTATCTCGATTGTTTTTCCATCTTAATGATGTAATATCACAATTTCCATTGGATTTTACATCACGTAGGAGTCCCTAAAAATTATGACTGTACAATCAAAAAAAGTAGAAAAAAAACTGAACATTTTCAAAGAGAGTTTTTAATAAAGATGAAGAAATAAGTCCGATAAAGAGGAAATAGTGAATGGATAATTTATCATGGTAACTAACGACCTGACAGCCATTAGATACATCAAATTATTAATTTGTCATTTCTTCCCTATTGGGTTTATTTCCCAATATTATTCAAAAACGGCCTTTGAAAATGCTCAGCCTTTTTCAACGTTTTTTTGATTGTATAATCATAATTTTTGGTGACTCCAGGGCTATGTAAAACTCAATAGCAATTGGAGATCATTTCGGTTCATCAAAATAAAAAAAACAGCCAAGATCACGTTCGAAAGATAATCCACCTGAGCCTTAATTGACCCTCCAAATGGAAACTCCTGCGAAATCATGTCAGTGTAGTGGGAGAGAGGGAAGGACCAATAGCGTGCGCGTGTGCTATGTGTGAGTGCGTGACGTCACGACAAGGCTCCCCCACTCTCGCGGGCCCAGGGCCGTCGAGAGCTCACAGGATATGGAGGTTTACATTCAAACGGTGTTCGTGTTTATTTTGTTTTTGTTAGTGTTTTTTTTTGTTAGTGTTTTCATTCATTCGTCATGTGTTACGTTGTTGATTCAAATAATCTCCGTGTTTACTTACTATGATTATCGCAGGAATGGCATGAGAAGACCACCTCAACCAATTTTTTTTTCTCATTCTAATGATATAAATAGTGTCTGTTGTTCTGTGAGTGAAAAGTGGAAAATATGGGGAAAAGAAAGAGCAGTCCATATGACTTTCATCAGTGATCGCAAATAACTTCAGTTTATATTTAAAATTTTGTTAAACTATGAAAAAATAATATTCGAAAGTTATTGATCAATAAAGTTTATACGATAAAATAAATTATGTGTGAGTAAATGGCATTATGCGTCTTTTCCGCGCTACAATCATTTTGAATTATTTCTACGTATTAACGTCTACGTGTGAGAGAAGTGGGGAGCCATCTGGATTAAGCCCCCCGGTGATAGCTAAGGCCCTGTGGTCCCTCCCCTCCGCAGTAGAAAATCCTGCAAGGCTCCACCAGACGCTGAGGTGGGGAGCGGGCATTTCTATTCAGAGGGTTAATTAATCATTTCCACTCACTTCCGCTTATTATGCAAAAGATCCTTAAAAGTATTGATCATCTCCAGATACGAGGTAGGAGTGACATAATTAAATCTCCCCAATCGAATTCGAAACTCTTCACTCAATGTCTGCGTGGACACATGGAAGAACTGACACATATCGATGCCAGCCTTTCTCTCATGGTCCGACAGTTTAATTTCCCCCAGGAATCTCGTTGCAACCGCCAACAGTGCATCCTCCGGCCATGGCTATCATGATTCGAAGCACAATGAGTATTATATCGGCTGGAACACTCCAGCATTCAAGCAAATATAATGCGAACAAGTTTCATTGGATTAGCGGGTAGGAGGGGTTTACCTGGAGCCAATCGATTGTGCAACAGTTGACAAGAGCGGGGAATGTTCTCACTCGGTTTCGAAAGCCATCGCCAATCGGTGACATGGCTACCACTATATGCAATTGATCGCGTGCTATTTGCACGAATAAATTGAACAGAGCGACAAGGCTGCCGTCCGTTTGATTCGCTCGCTCTCGTTGACGATCGATTTGCCGCATCTTCTCGCAGATCTCGGCTTTTTCATCTGTGTTGAAGAGATTTGGAACTTCACCAGAGTTCAACATGTTACTGATGTCCTCGAGGAAGCTTTCCTTTTTGAGCTGACTGTCGGTGAACAGAAAGGTCGAGTGGAGTTCAGTAGCTGTGGTCTTCTTTAGGATCATCTTCAGGTCCTCGTGCCACTCGTGGACGCCATACTGCTTGCTGATCTCCACCTGAAAGAGGTCGTACTCGCAAATATGAGAAGCTAACTTCGATAATGACTGTCTTCCAGAACCACCAACGCCGACCAGAAGGGCATGACTCCTCGGTTGCTTTATGATCCTCGCAATCTTCGATAAATGCTCTATGGCGAACCTGAAGAGCACTAGGTTCATCGGCTTCTTCGTCATCGAGTTGTATTCTATCAGATACCCCTCGACGATTGATCGAAGCAGCTCGAGGTCCGGGATCTCTTGATACAGCCTGGTGTCCGCCTTGGGATCCAAAAAGTCACAGAAGACTAGTTTTCTCAGTTCAACTTCTCCGATGGGTCCTTCACCCAAATCCTCGAAGAGGGCGTCGAAGTTGGCGTCCATTCGAGTCTCCACGGTTGATCTCAACTGCTTGATCAACCACTGGGTGTCGGTTTCGTCGACCAATCTGTCTCCAAATACCCTCAGAATCTCGTGGACCCATAATCGCTTCATGTTCGCCAACGTCGGCATGGATTCCGGGACGGACAGCAGGACTCCTTGGACGACCCTCGAGAAGTCCCTCATGTTGAACAAATAATGAGACTTGGATGGCGTCGGTAGGAGATTGGTCAAGCTCTCCTTGTAAATATCCAGTGTCGCCATCACGACCTGATCGATGCACGGGTCAAACTCCTTGCTGAAGCCTCTCGTGTCCAGATGCCAGAGGACAATCTTACTGAAAATGGTGGTCATCACCTGATCCTCGAACTCTGAAATTGCGAGGGTGAAGAAGTGCCTCTTGAACCTCGGCGTGACGTCCTTTCCCCCGCTGACGGGTGGACCCATTGCGCACATCAACTGAACCTCAATAAGCTTCAGAGGATTCTTCTCCTTCCTGTCATACCACTGTCCGTGGTCGAGCAATTGCCGGAGGAGTTCGATCGGCGGTTGCGCCCCGTACGTCTCCTTCAACGGCATTGAGACATCATCCACGAAGACAACCCATCGCTTTCCGATCGGAGGACCGTAAACCCCCTTCCTCCTCTTGTCCAATTTACTCATAACAATGTCCTGCGTCTGATTCGCAGATGTCTGCGCCGAGAAGTTAATGAATAGTGGTTTAAACTTTACAGTATCATTTCTCTTCAGCAGGAAATCAATAATGTAGACCGACTTTCCGGTGCCAGTTGGACCGACAAACAACACTGGTTTCGCATGCTGTACGAGTAATTGGAACAGCGTGGTATATCTGATAGTCTCTACTGTCGGCACAATAATCTGATTCACGGGTACGTCACGGGGAATAGGGGGAGCATTCATCAATTCATCGGACCACAGTTTCCATTTGCCCTTTCCTTCCCGAATAAATCGATAATCAAACACCATTCCATCCTTCGGCATTACGAATATATAAGGCTTTGCTGGGGGTTGAACGGCTTCTGGAAGTTCGAATAATTCCGCTAAGCTCTGGGGAAATTCTTTCTCGAGAAGTCCTCGGAATAGCATACTGAACTTTTCTCGATGGTTTGCCTCGAGAGTTCCGCCCATTGCCCATATACAAGAGAAAAAGAATGACCCCTCTAGTTGGGCTCTCAGATCAAGCTCGTTAGGAAGTGCTGTTTCCTTTTCCGGATCGTCCTCTCGATAGTCATCAATGAAGCAGTCCATCAGGTACGTTATTGATCGCAGAAGATTCGAGTCCGGCATAGGACACATCTCCTTTAATCCGCCCCTTCTCAGAAGGTGGAACAGGGGTTTGCAGAAGCGAAAAAATAACGAGTCGTACAGGAAAGTTTTCAAGAAGTCGGTGACGAGGGGCGGGAGAGTCTCCAACCAGGATTTCAGTAGTGGCTCCCAACCGAGAGCGACCGGCTCCATATAAATCATACCGCAACGAGAGACTGTAGCGGGTGAAGCTGCTTCCAGATCCATCGGTTCGAAGATTAGATTCGTAGTTTTAGCTAGTTGGATGATCTCACCGCTCATCAAACAGAGCTTCTTGTTGTCATCCAGAACAGTATTCATATTCTCGATCCAGACTGCGTCGATCGGTCCGTCGAATATCAGCCATTTTCTGTTGCTGTTCGTCGACACTGCGAAGGCTCTGTAGCTTATCGCTAGGACACCATCGCTCCATTCATGAGAAGCCGGATCAAATTGTCCGTAAAGTTGGCCCATTGTTATGGACTTGGGATTAATGACCGTGATCTCTACTTTGTGCTCGTCGATGAGGTTACGCTGTTCGCAGAGTTCGAGAGCCGCTGCCAGCATCTTGTAAGCTTCGGTCTTACCGCCGAAGGGGTAACCTACTATCATGAAGCCGTGTCGGACGATCATCATCTCGTAAATCTGTTGGATCTTCTCCAGAAATACCGGAACGCACTGGATGTTGGCGGTTTGGCAGGCCTCGAAGATGCAGCTGTTGAGGTCAGTGTAATCGGACTCTGGGAGGACGACATTGGGGAAGAGGTCTGAGGTGATGCCGTGGAACAATGGTAAGTCGTGGCTCAGGAATTTTGGGAGGTTGACGTCCTTGATGCTGCGGAGCATTAGGATGTCCTCGCTCTCCTGCGGATATTTCAGCTTGAGATTTCCTGCTGCTACCAGGACGGATTTGACGGCTCTCATGCCGTAGTCGTAGTGACTCTGGCTCGACAGCTGCTCCGAGCATAATCTGTACGCCATCACAATCTTCACAGAGAGGGGACGAGCGTTGTAGAAGCCGTAGGAGTACAGAGTATTTTCCGCGATCAGTCCGTAGTCGGGTACCATCATGGCAACAGAGCGGAATAATGCCTTCAGATTATCTGGTAATTCGGAGCGTCCAGCATACCCAGGGTTCATCGTGATGAACACCGCGCAAGTAGGATCCAAATTCAATTCCGTCCCCTCGAAAACGAGTTTAGTTTTCTTCGCTTGGATTGCGCGTTGAATGGTTAAAATTTGTTGTGCAACAACTGAGAGAACTTCCAAATCGATACGATTGAACTCGTCGAAGCAGGACCAAGCGCCCGAGGCGGCGAGACCTTTGAAGAATTTCCCCAGGGCGATATAGTCGAGACCGTCGGAGCAGTTGAAGACGACACATTGCTTTGCAATAGCTTTCGCCAAGTCTTTTGTGGTTTCCGTCTTTCCGGTGCCGGCCGGCCCCTCTGGGGCGCCTCCCAAGTTTAAAGCTAGAGCACCGAAGAGGGTTCTGTAGCATCGATCGGTCAAAGGTGTGATGACCAAGCGTCCGCTATTCCCAAGATATTCATACCCGTATTTCAGGGACGAGTTTATCATCATGGTTATCATGTTATCCTCCATCCAGTAGTACCTCAGTTGACACAGCCATTTGAAGTCCGTCGCCTTTGTCACCTTCTTCTCCCAAAGGTCAACGGTCACATCTCGCGAGTGGACGTCCAACGTCACCAACGCTTCCAACGTCGTTCGGTTCTGAGTCGATAGCTTGCCCCGTACGAGAACGATTATCTTGTTCAGCTCTTCATTACATACGTCGACGTAAGCCTTCAACGCCTCTAAACCCCTAGGAAAAGCTTCTGTGACGTCAGACGTCCAGTAAAGTTGACCAACACAGAGGATCGTCTGTCCGGGCCACTCAAGCACCCACTCAGACCGCTTCTTCCCGAGGTACGCGTCCTTTGCTCGGATAACTTGAGCCTTGATGCTCTTCTTCATATCCGTCTCCAACTCCACAAGCCACTTCTCGACCTGCCCACGTGCACTAGCCGTATCAATCTTGTCTTCCAGTACTATCGATTCCCCCTCCGATGACTCCATCGTCGTCACCTCCATATCCTCCGTGAATGCTAATTTAGCGATCCCCTCGAAGCACTTTTTCAAGTGCGGTTGAACTCGCGTTGGATCTTTTGTCTCGGACAAAATCTCGAGTAGTTCGTCGTTCGATAGAAAAAAGAATCTCGGGAAGAAGAGTCGTTTTTTCTCCAAGTAGTCATTGAGACCTTTCTGGATAAGGTCAAGGAGACCTGTGCACTTTTTCAGACGATCCAACATCTTATCGATCTCCACAACTGACATTACCCTCGGGTCTTGCATGACCGAATTCATTATGTCACGCCATATCTTGTCGACAGCGCTGAACCGACGACCCTCTTCCGGCATTTGTTGCTGTATGTCTGGGGATGAGAATATAGGCTCTAAGTACATCCACGTCGCCTGTACTTTCAACCAGTAGTCCATTATGTCTTGAAGCAAGTACAACTTGGCTTCCCACTCCAACGTCTCCTTCTCAAATGGCTTAATGTAGAGCGAGTTCTTCATGGTTTGCGCCTTCGTCAGGTGGTCGTCCAGGAGTAGTTGGATCTCGTCGACACTTGCAATTACGTAGGTTCCAGTGTCTCTGTATGGGTTGACCATGAACTCGATTGTGGTCCAGTCGTCGTGCATCTTGAGAAGGGCCTTCTCAAGATTGCTCTCCTTGGTCGCAGCTTCGGAGATCCCTTCGAACTTTGAGACATATTCGTCCAGGCCGAAGTCTATGATCTTGGCTAGTGTCATATTCTCGTCGACTTTAATCGGGAAGCCCACGATCTCGGAGACCTGGGTCCAGTGTCGGCTCTTCATCCCTGGATTTCCTAGGTTCGCTATCAGCGCCATGTGCTCACGGAATTCTTCTATTTGGATTCGGACGGTTTCCGCTAGCTTTCGGACAACTGGCTCTTGGAAGATCTTCTCTAGCTTCAGGACTGTTCTGTGAGCTGTTCCAGAGTCGGTTTCAATCGTCTCCGGATCGTGACTACCTATCATCGAACTCATCCAGGTGTGGTGCTGAGAGATGAACTCACATGCCACGTCGTAGAACTTCTTGTAGGGAGACAGCTTGTCTGCTATTTTTTTTCGAAGGGGATATTGTGATAACTCCCAACCGAACATCTGTTCCTCCTCGTTGAACGAATCGATTGTGTCCATGGCGCCTATCAGGCGGTTCTCGAGGTTCGTTGCCTTCTTTTTATAGCGGAATATCTCGTCTACGTTCCCCCAGTACTGCATCTCGTCGCAGTATTTCTCCCAGATTTTTAAGTCGTTGTGGAACTTTTCGATGCGAGTCAGGAGTGCTTCTTGGTACTCACCTTTTTTCGATTCGATTATCTTCAAGTGGTCTTCGAATATCGAGGACATCCGGTGATACCTGAAAGTTAAATGTTGAGATCGATCTGCGGTCATAGCAAGGAAATGAAGCGGGTGCACTGAGAAAAAAAAATATTCTTGCGAAATATTCATTTAATTGAGAGAAGCATTTATTTTTTCAATATGGAATTTCTCCAGTCGAGGTATCCTCAGACGATTTTTGTTAGGTTTCAATTATAGAAATTATATTGTTCTAGAAGACGATCATGTTAGTTATGACGTTGAGTGAACTCATTCAATAATTATCAACATTTAAAAATTAATTGAAATTCTTGCCCCTAGAAAATAAGAAATTTCGGAAAAATGAATAATCATTGGAGGAGTTTATCCAAGGTCAACACAGTCACAGTCTCTAGAGCATCATGGCACGTATAAAAAAATTTAAAAGAAAACCTTAGCGAATTCATTAGAAAATTCTATTGAAATTTTCTAGGAAATCTATGGGGATTCTATTAAAATTCTAGGGAATTCTCATTAAAATTCTATTTGTTTTTTGCGCAGATTTTATTGGATATTTGATAGGAAAAAGTCAATAGATTTCGATTTTTCTGTTTGAATTTTTCTTGTGAGATTTTTTCTATTAAAATTATTGGATACGGATTTTCTAAGTTTATACCGCTATATTTTGTTTTGTTTTGCATTACAAGATCCGAGTGAAAAACCTTAGAAAACTCATGCCCAAGTATTCTTAGAGATGAAATTCCAAGAGAATATACTTATAGAAAGATTGAAATCTATTGGCTGTTTCCTATCAAATATCTCATAGAATCAGCGCAAAAAACAGAACAGAATTTTAACGAGAATTTTAAAAGAATTCCAATAGAATTTCTAGAGAATTCCAATAGAATTTTCTAGCGAATTCCCTCAGTTTTTCTATTGAATTTTTTCATACGTGAATTGTCATAATTGAAACCTAATTAGGCTCGCCTGGGAATGAGTTTTGATTAGGAGTGAAGTCAAGGAATTTTGGAGAAAAAGAATAGTTTGTTAATTTGTCATAGATTCGACGTTTAACTAAATATTTTTTACGTCGATACGTCTATGGTTTCAATATGGGGGGTCATTTTGGGAAATGATCCTTATGTGCAGCGCCATCTGTAGGAATTCTAGAAAATTCTAGACATTTCCAGGTAATTCGAGAAGTTTCTTAAAATTTCGAAAAAATTCAAGAAATTTCTAGAAATTTCGAGGAAATTCAGGGAATTTTTAGAAAATTTGAGACAGAAGGAAAGACGATGGACGTATCCACGTACAATTATAGCTGTATTAAAGATACAGCCGCTTGCAATTTTTTTAGCTTCTTCAGGTTCTTGACATCGTTAACGCTCAATCAGGATATTCTCTAACATGATCACGCGGAAATGCACCGAACAACAATACAAAAAAAATGAATAGATAAATGAAGAACGAAAAATCCCACAGCAACGCTGACTTGTCCGAAACTATGACACCTTTTGATTAGTTTATCTATACGGAGAGAAAAGTTGCATAGAAGTTAGCTAGAAAACCGCGGCAAATTTTACTGTACGAAGGATAATCGTGGAGCAAAATGTAATTCAATGAAATTACCCTCACGTTCAGTAAATTTTCCCGACACAACGGAGAAAAATTCACTATTTGTTTTGCACTTTCTCGATATAGGGTGAAAACGTACTGAAAATCGAGTTCACTCCACGATTACTTGACTTGTTCTGTAATTTTTCCCTTTTTTCTCCGTGCAGAGGTAGATGAGTCATTACCATCCGAATGCGAAGTTATTGGTCTTCAATTCAACGGGAGTCAGCAGTGTATAATCCGACAAGAATTGGACGTATTTTATGACCCCTCTCAAATGATTTTCCAAGTCGAGAAGCATCTCCGTTTGAGCTTTCGCGACGAATTCTTTCAGCGCCATTAGTTCTTTTGTGTTGGCAGGGACGCCGAGAGCTCTCTCCGCTATATTCTCGTAATCCTCTCCGATACTGCATCATAAAAGAATTTGTTCGGTAAATACTACGTTTCACGACTCAATTTTTTTTATCGTTGAATGAAGCAACTTATTCTTTCTTGGAGGATTCCGTAAGTTTTTTTGAAAAAATTTATTTTGAAATCAATGCTCGGGGAAAGGTAAAAAATATTCATGTTGGGGCAATGTTGAATTCAATGAATCATTGAATTCAATTTTTTTATTGAGTTTGTTAAATGCAATTGAAATCACATCGTCATAGGAATTCCATTCCGGAGCAAATTATTAATTTATTAGCAAAAATATATAGACTATACTGAGAAAAAAAATTAGTTTTGCTAAGGAATCATTTTCTTGGGAGGAGAAATCATTTTTTTTAGAAACGTATTTCTATAATCATTCCCAGGGGGACCAAGTCCATTTCCAAATATTATAATTATGTTGAATTATGGGATGGTTGATAGCTTGGAACCCCGCACAAATACTGAGGTCAATTTGGAAAAAAAAATTTTTTGGACAAAAACTAGCCATTTTCAAAAAATCATAACTCCCTCAATTGTCAATATTTTTAAATTTTTCTTCTTTCAAAAGTTTTGTCTAATCGCCATCTTTTCAGAGAAAAATTGAGACAAAAATGGATCTGCTATTATTATACGTTTGGATTACCTACATCCTCGATTTCGATTGATAATTCTCAATCATCCTGTCGACAAGTTTGCCCTTGAGTAAATTGGCAATTCTCGCCATGTACTCCATGAAATCCTCCCGATGGACATCGAAAATTCCACTGAAGAATGTGCGATCGAACTCAACGGGGATATTTTTTAAAAGTTTCTCGTACTTTTCGATGAGTTGGGCGTATTCATCGAAGGTTCGCGGTGGATCTGCGGTCAGGAACTTTTTCACCAAGTCCTCGTCAGCCTCGTTTATCAATGTCACGTATTTGTCGAAGTTCTGGATTTGTAACTCGGGGCCTATTCTGTGCTCTTGGATCAGTTCCGTTATTTGGTTGCGGTACTTGTTGAGGATTTCGTCGAGGATTATTGGCTGTAAATATCAAAGTTCCATTCCCCCACGCGATGAGTTTAGAAACGATTGGAATAGTTGATTTCAGTTCTTTCGTCATTCCTCACAATTATTAATATTATTTTTATTGTTTCCGCATGGAAATATTGTCATCGTTCAAATTTACGTTTTGGATTTTTCGTGTTATATCGACATTATGATTCAAAAATTCCGAAAATGCTATTTTTAGACCATGTCCGTACGTACACGGAGAGAAATATTCAGGAAAAATTACGGAACAATTCACGTAATCCGCAATGGGGAATCGTTTTCCTGCAATTTTTATAGGAATGAAAGAGAAGAAATCTGAAATGGTCAGTGAATTTTCAGGTTCATCACCGAACAAAGTACGAAATTGTCACGTAATTTTTCCCGAAGAAGTAAAATCTTACAGAGACTTCCCGAATTATTATGCCTCCAAAATAAAAAATTCTTGAACGTTCAACAATTTTTATGAAACTGGTGAATTATTTCTACGTTCCGTTCCCTAAAATTTCTCAATCGTTGGGGAAAAATTACGGAATGACTTGTTGTCCCCACAGCGGCGAGTCATCAGACGGGTAGTTAATTTTTACGGAACAAATCGTAGAATTTACGTGGCGATTCGTACAATTTCAGTTCCAACTCACACCTTTTACTGAATTTTACTTTGCTCGCGGATTACCGTTCAAAACGTAATTTTTACGTTTTTTTTTGTAATTTTTATTGAATTTTTCTCTCAGTGTATGTAAACAATTTTTTTCCATTGTTCACTAATGAATCGATGGAATTTTTCTATTAACGTTTTATCGAAGGGCTGAGGGGAGAGATAGAACTGTAAAATAGACAATTGGTTGTATAGAAAAAAGGGATAAAAAGAATAAAGATGATGATAAAATTCAACTAATTTGAAAATCTGACAAAATTAGCTGAAAAAAAATGAAGTAAACAATGAATTCACGCACGAAAAAATTCAATAGAAAAACCTATCGAATTCGTTAGAAAATTCTATTGAATTTCTATTAAACTTTCTATTAGTTTTTGGCTGATTCTATTAACATGTTCAATAGAAAACATTCAATAGAAAAAGTCAACAGAATTCGATTTTTCTATATAACTTATGCTTTTCATATATTTTCTATAGAATTTGCTCGACTCAAATTTTCCAAGTTTTTTCATTCTATTTTTCTTTTCTTCTCATCAAGAAAATCTAACGAAAAAACTTGGAAAATTTGAGCTGTGGAAATTTTATAGGAAATGTCTCAATAGAATAAGTTATATAGAAAAATTGAATTCTATTGACTTTTTCTACTGAATATTTTCTATTGAACATTTCAAGAGAATCGGCCAAAAACTAACAGAACAGTTCAATAGAAATTCAATAGAATTTTCTAACCAATTCGATAGGTTTTTCTATTAAATTTTTTCATCCGTCTTATACGTGATAGAAGGATATGATGTGCAAAATAACCATTCGGAAGCATATTGCTAATTTATTAGCAAAAATAACGATACTATATTCAATACAAGAGCAATTTTCCACCTGTTTAAAATTGTTTGGTTTGAAATAATCGTCGATATGAAACAACTTCTCGAAACGTCCATCTTTTATACATAAGATATTTCATGAATAATAGTTTTTCAATAATTGACATGTCGTATATAATTGAATAGGAAATATTTTATGAAAGTTTATTGTGTGGTAAATGAAAATACCTTGAGAATCCCTCTGCCGAGAGTGGATTTATCGTACAGCTTCCGCTCTATCCGCGGATATCCGCAAACAGCTTGATAAAGCGATGCCAGTAATGAGAGTAATGTATCCGTGAATGCTTTGAACGATGGATCGAATCCAATGGTCTTACTCCTCACCACAACGTTTATGTTGAAGCTGCATTTCATGTGCTTAAATGAGGAAAGAAATGAGGAAATAAAACCGCGATTCCCCCGGTCCAATTATATTACTCAATTACAATTCTATCGAATTCCTTCGAGTGCATAAAACATTCATCAAAGTGCCTTCCAATCTACTCCTTATTCTCCACCGTCTTTTATATTCATTTACTTACGATTAACTGTTGCCTAGATCCTCTAGTCTGCACAACATTACGAATTTAACGTTCAATATTTTGTAATTTGGTAACGATGTACTAATAGAGTGATGGAGTAAGATAAGTCCGAGGAATGCATTTACATTATCTGATAAATATCTCTGAAACTGAAAGGTTTAGGGCAAAATATCGATAGACCTTTTTGATATGTAAAAGTTGATGACATTATTATTATTATTATTATTATTATTATTAATATTATTACATTATAATAATCGCATAAAATTTTTAGTCTCCAATTCGTTATTTTTGTCATTTATTCTATTTATTCTATTTATTCTATTGAACAAGCATAGAAATCGAGTTTATGGGTATTCTTTCATTATTCGAAAAGATATTTAATGCGGTTATTCGTTGGTAGGACCGTAGAAGGTGCAGTTTTACAGTTCCCAAAAATATATGTCTTACGAAGAAGAATGAATTGAATTAACTTAATCTTATCCTGAAGATGGAAATGGCGAAAATAATAAAATGAAATAGTGTAATATATTAGGGGGCTACGCCCCCTGGTCGTTCCGCTCGCCAACCCCCATATATAACCCTCATCATCCTTATTCTGACCCTTCTGACTCTTGTGACCTTTAATTGTGAAGTCTTAATTTCGTGTAACCAATTTTTATCACCAGAAGTCGAATAGGATGTTTATAATATAGAGAGAAACTAATCAAGCGACAGTCACGAGGCGCCCGTTCGCTAAGAGAGTCAATATGTATAACGATTGCAGTTTTAAAATAATAAAAAAAAATTATTCAATTTTATATCAAATTAAAATAAAATAATAAACAAAATTTATTATGTTCTATGTTTTTTAAGATAATCAGCAAAAATTAAAGTCTAAAATTGTAATTTTACAAATCAATTTTAATTGATTCATCTAGTCCATTTCACCGCATATTCAATTGTCACCCCAATACCGTTGTCCACTGGTACGAGCATTCATCCAATGACACATACCTATACCCATTAAAAAATGATAAATCATATTCATACTTAAACATCTTGGCTCTCGTTATCGAAATTTTGTGGTAGAGTAATCCCTGAAAAATCTCATGTCCCAAAAAACCCAACGGAAGTTGCGCAGCCCACCACTGCGCTTGGAGGGAATACGATGCCCACAGTCATGTGTATATGTAGAGCTGCGGGACACCCTCGATTTTCAGACAAAATGTACTGACCACTCGCGTTCTAATGCGTGATTCGTATTTTAAACAATAAAATATTATCACTAACCGTCAAGTAAACAATTTTCAATTAATGTTAGGCATTCGAATGATTTGTTATTAACAATTGAATTGTTCAAATCGCCCTAGCATCCAAACTATGAGGTACAGACAAAAATTTTCAAATCATGAATCATCTTGAATTTAATAAGAAATCATTTTTGTTAATTATCAATTTTCAAATCATGAATCATCTTGAATTTAATAAGGAATCATTTTTGTTAATTATCAATTTTACCTATCTCTCGTAGATTCTGAGATATGAGCAATAAACTAGTTACGCGACCCGACACAGCGCTCTGTACTTGCGGTGCGCGGTGGGCTTGAGAGCGCTGTGTTGGGTCACGCAACTCTTTTCTTGTTCATATTTCGAAATCTAAAGGAGGTATGTGAAATTGACAAAAAACAAACATTATTCCTTAGCAAATTCTAAATGATTCGTGTTTCGAAAATTTTCGTATATCTTTCATAGTTTAAGCGCTAGGGTGATTTGAACAATTAAATTGTTGATAATAAATAGTTGCAATGCCTAAAATTGATTGGAAATTATTTACTTGACGTTCTGTGATCATACTTCATTGTTCAAAAAAAGAATTACGCATTAGAACGCGAGTGGTCAGTCGGTCAATTTAGAAGCGCTTTTTTGTGGGTGTCCCGCAGCTCTACATGTACTACGGATATACTATCGAGTGAAGGTGCTCTCACTGTCGCTACAATGTCCCACTGTCAATTTAAATATCTCGAACACTATTGAGAAGTTATCGACACATCCAGTCTGACGAATGTAGGAAATTTCATAACAAATAAAATGGTTTTCAACTCACATCTCTGCGACTCGCGGCTCTCAAGATTTGGACGTTTGTGGATAGGAGCACCCCACGGTGCACGCGCTCTCTCAGAAGCCAAAGGTCTTAAGTTACTCTCTTAAACAAATGATAACACCTCGAGAATCGTGAGGCATAGAGACGTGAGTAAAGATCTATTTTATTCCTCATAAAAATCCCTCAATTTTTCACGCAACATGTCTCAATGACTTCCCAACGGTTATCGATATATTTCGGGTGAGACCGGGACATTTTTTTGGAAACAAAATGCATGATGCTTTTTCGGCCTAACCAGTTGTGAGATATTTTACAAATAGTTCACAAGAAATTCTTGGACTCATCTTATTTTATCACTCTATTACATGATGATTTAATCAATTAATCAATTTTCCCATCAATAAATTGATGTTTCTAGTCAAGAAACTATAATTGAATGAAAATATTGGAGGAAAATTGAACAATCATACTTTAAAGCTCCAAAAAATGATCAATCAATAATCCCTCATTATTATTTATTAACGATGAAATTTCACTCACTGCCACTTTTTTAAGAAAGTCCATATAATCCTCCATCGAATTAAGGCACAAATTGCACAGCTGACTCTCCATAACAATCGCGAGACAATTAAAGAATTTGGTGATTCTCCGTTCATCACTGTCACCTGGCAACTGCCCCCTCCTCCTTGCCTGTAAAGTAGTATGAATTCACTCCAGTTGAGTCGTTGATAATAAGAAGGAAACAAAATATACAAAATGCCAGAAAAAAAAGATTGATCATTGTTAATTTTTTAATCGAAATTCTATCTTTGATGCATGTAAGAAATCAATCCATTAAATTATTTTTTTAATCAGTTTTTAAACAGTCTCTTGTTTGATTGGGATGTTTCGATGACTGGCACCCTGTTAACCCCTCAAGTACGACGCCCATATCGCGCGGTGTGTCCTCATCGGCCGACGGCGTTCCGTCTCCTCGAATTCGCTGTTCAATACGCGACAATTTCTACACTGATGATTAAGAAATTATCATCTAAAATTTAATGATAATCTTGAGCTTTCACCAATAAGTTCAATTATGGTATTCCTTTATGCAGATTTTTCTGAAATTTTTGAGACTAATTAGTCATTCAAGTAATTACTTGAATCGAAATTTCGTTTGCTCCATTCGACAAAGGAATGTATAGAGTATGCTCGGTAAAAATTGAAGAATTTTGTATGAAAATTAGCTCAATAAACGAGAGGTTTGAATATGCTTCTGACATCGAATTCAGTTGTGTATTGTTTATGTATTGAAGAAAAATATTGAAAATGACTGGAAAAAAAATTGAGTCACATTGTGTTGATAGTTTTAGCTATTTCATGGGGAAATTTCTAGAATTTCGATATCTACAATAGAACGAAAGATAATGAATGTTTATTAATCATGGTGTTAAAGTAGCTCTACCCTTCGGCCGGGCTACGCCATACTTTTAGATATTTTCAGTTTTTAAATTTTTCAACTAAATTGCATGGGAAACCCAGTCAGTATTATCTAAATTAAATTTCGCAAAATATTGATATTTTTTCAAACATTTCCCTCGTATAATTAAATAATAAAACTTGTTTGCAAAACGGTAGATTATTTTTTATGAGGTGTCAAAAAAATTCTTGATTTTTTCACATCCAATGAAAAAAAATCAGATTTTAATTTTTGATTACAATGGAAATGTTGATTTTCACATAAGACACTGGGATAATTAAATTGAGAAAAAAATTAGAATTCCTAATCTAATAGAGTTTTCTGCAATCTTTTTGCAATTTTCAATAATCTTTCAATTTACCGTAAGGGTAGAGCTACTTTAAGGATTGATGATAATTTGCCAGGTTTTGGGTGGATCGGGAGTAGGAAGTGAGTGGATGCCCGAGTCGAATAAATTGGACCTGACAAGTTCTACTTAGGTCTTTCCGTTCAGAACTGGATAGGTCTTGGGAAGCCTTTTCCCAAGTACTACCGAGACCTTTCTACCTCTGGTTATGTCCCATTTCAGCACTTGTTAGGTGTAAGCAGGACTTGTATTCAGACTTTCCAAATCCTTGCCGGTCCCCGTAATTCTATGGGCCTATATTAAATCTACGTTCATATCCCTGTTTACTCGTGCGTTATTGAAATAAAAAATGCAATTATTATTTTTTTTTTAATCTCGAAAATCGACATTTCACGAGAGGGTGGAGGGGAGATGCATGTATGTGCAGGCTTGACATTTTTACCCAACAAGGGGAGAAGATCGTAGAATCTATTCTAGCCACTCTTGTCCCTACGCTGGCATGCATTATCCAAATAAAAAATGAAAGTGTTAACAAATCTGACCATTGTTCCAAGTAAAAACCGAAAATCTGACCCTGTGCCCGGGTAGAAATTCAACCGGGGATTCAGCCGCAACTCGGGTGAGCGCGAGCTCAGCCTCGGCTTGCCGCTTGACCCGAGTTCACGCCCTCCAATTGAGTCGTGTCGTTTCGAGTGGAGGGTGGAATAGAATGATATTTATGCATTTGTAGAATATCGATTTAAAATTTGAATACTTTGGAAAATCCTTGTCTTCTTACTATAAAAAAAAATGGAATTCCACTGAACTTTCTATAAAATTTGAAATTTACTGATTTTTCCCTCTGTCATCGAATATATAACCTGGCACTTTCTCTAAGAATTCATATTGAATTTCTATTGGAGCTCTGTGAGAATTCTAGTCAAGTTTTATTGCAATTCTATTGAAAAATTATATTTTTTTTGCGTCAATTCCATTGGAAATTATGCAACTTTTCCCTGCCTTTTTAATAGATATTTGTTTGTAGAAAAAAATCCATTGATTTTTCTAGATAATTTATTCTGTTAGGATTTCTTCCACAGAAACTATTGGGCATGATTTTTCCAAGTTTTGTTCCTGCATTTGATTAAAAGAAAAGAAGAAAAACCGAGCGGGAAAAACTTAGAAATCTTACGCCTAAGAAAATCTATAGGAACATAAAAACCTATTTACTTTCTTGCACCAAATTTTACCTTAAAAAAAGACTTTATGAAGTTGCATAATCTCCTATAGAATCGGCGCAAGAAACGAATAGAANACTACCGAGACCTTTCTACCTCTGGTTATGTCCCATTTCAGCACTTGTTAGGTGTAAGCAGGACTTGTATTCAGACTTTCCAAATCCTTGCCGGTCCCCGTAATTCTATGGGCCTATATTAAATCTGCGTTCATATCCCTGTTTACTCGTGCGTTATTGAAATAAAAAATGCAATTATTATTTTTTTTTTAATCTCGAANAAAAGATTCGATTTTGGCAAAAGTCGATTTTCTCCCGAGAAAAACGAAAAATCTGACCCTTTGAAAATTNCCCCCGGTGAAAAAATTTTTTTTTCAGTTTTCATTTTTTCCACATACTTTTGAAAGTTCTGAATAACCCGTCGCTTAAATAGTTGGAATCAACGTTCACCCGGCTAAAAAATTCGATTTTGGCGAAAGTCGATTTTCTCCCGAGAAAAACGAAAAATCTGACCCTTTGAAAATTTGAAAAAAAAAAAAAACATTTCAGTTTACACTTTTCCACATACTTTTGAGAGTTCTGAATAGCCTGTCGCTTAAAGAGTCAGAATCAACGTTCACTCGGTTAAAAAATTCAATTTTCTGTACTGCTTCTCACGATTTCTCGTCTGGGAATTGGTATTACATACTTCCCAAACTCGAAAACTTGAAAATCACTACAGAAAAATATTGTTCCTGGGCTGTTGCGACGGGTTTTCTTTACTCGTCTGGTTGGCCAGTCCTCGCCTACGGCTCGGAGGCCTACGCCACACGAGTAAAAAACCCCATCGCAACAGGCCGGAAAAATACTATTTCACTCGGGTGATTGAGCCGGGATGTGAAATAAACCAGAGATTTAAGTATTCAATCTATCTAGTGTCACCAATTAAAGACATTTACACTATTTACATCATAAATGTTACTCGATAATTGTCCACAAATGACACTGATTATTTTCCAGTTAAGAGATAACTCATTATTTGACCCGAGAAATGGAAGATAAAATAACCGAGATAATGACGATTGATGAATGATATAATTTTATAGCGATGACCGTGAATACCGAGATGTACACCCTATACGTGATGAATTGATACCGTTACGTGTTCTCCGAAAACCGATGTGAACCCTATCCCTGATGAATCCGTACTCCCCGAGGGCCGGTCGACCCCAATGGCCTCTCCAACTCTAAACCCGACCTTACCCGATTATTCCTGACTGGCCCATACCGCGAACCAGTCTCAATTGAGTTCGCTGGGAGTCGTCAAGAGGGACAGTCGCTCGTCTGTTCCGTTCCAAAGGATATCTATCCCAACATCTGAAATATGCTTTTCTGCACTGCTTTTCACGATTTCTCGTCTGGGGGCTAAAAAATTCGATTTTGGCGAAAGTCGACTTTCCCCCGGGTAAAACGGAAAATCTGACCCTTTGAAAATTTGAAAAAAAAAACCTTTTTCAGTTTTCACTTTTTCCACATACTTTTGAGAGTTCTGAATAGCCCGTCGCTCAAATAGTTGGAATCAACGTTCACCCGGCTAAAAAATTCGATTTTGGCGAAAGTTGACCTTCCCTAGGAAAAACCGAAAATCTGACCCTTTGAAAATTTGCAAAAAAAAAACTTTTTCAGTTTTCAGTTTTTCCACATCCTTTTGAGATTTCTGAATAGCCCGTCCCTTAAATAGTTGGAATCAACACTCGCCCGACTAAAAAATTCGATTTTGGCGAAAGTC